GTATTATTGAAGAGCACTGTGTCCTGCGGTACGATCGCTATCTGCTTCCGAAGGCTATCCAAACTGTAGTCGCGAATGTCTTTGCCGTTAATCAATATCCGACCGCTTTGTGGGTCAAAGAATCGGTAGAGAAGGCGAACGATTGTCGATTTGCCGGAACCACTGCTGCCCACCAGTGCTATCCATTTGCCGGCCGGCACTTCAAACGATAGGTTCTGGAGAATTGGCTGATTCTTCACGTACTCGAAGTACACGTTTTCAAACTTAACGGTCGCCTCTTTGTGTGTGAGTATGAGTGCGGGTGCGTTGGGCTTCTCCTATCCATTCAATCACCAATCATTTACATCCAATTAATTTTCGTATAATTACAACAATTAATTGCTTCCAATCATTACCTTAACAGTTGTCTCAATGCTTAACAGATTAAACATAATCTGCATATCAAGCAACGATTGTCTAATTTCTCTATAAACAGATCCCAAGAAGTTTAATGGCAGTGATAATTGAAAGAGCAGACCATTGACCATAACTAAGTCACCGACAGTCATAGTCCCTATAAAAGTGATATATTTAGTTAAAACACACGACTGAATACATATATATAAAATGTTGGTCAATACCGGCGACAATGCCTTTGGCCGACAGCACCATAATCGCCGCCAAAGAGGCACTAAAAATGGCGTTTTGGCCAAAGTTGAGAAACGCTAAACTGGTTGTGGTCTTGAGTGAAGCGTCGGTATACTTCTTGAGCTGCGAATCGTATTTCATCGCTTCGTACGACTCGTTGTTAAAGTATTTGACGGTCTCGTAGTTAATGAGCGAATCTATGGCCAGATTTCCCGACTCGTTCTCCGCTTTATTCATGTGAACCCGAAATTTGGTCCGCCATTTAGTGATGCCGAGCGTGAATAGAGTGTAAGCGCCGATACAGCCCAGCGTTATGCCCGCGAACTGTCCGCCAAACTTATAGTACATAATACTACTGACGAGCGCCACCTCGAAGAACGTCGGCACCACATTGAACACCAATGCGCTCAACACAAAATTGATACCACTATTCGCACCAACAAATCATATATCCTTATTAATACTCAACACATCACCGCTTATATTATCAATAGAGTGGTCAAAAGCCATACCGCGTTCCCCTATCGATAGCCTTGGAGAGAGCGCCCGTCTGTCTATTCAAATGAAAGTTAAGATCCATTCGATGCAAATGCGTGAACACATTGCCGGCCACTCGCCGTATGGAGTCGTGCGCCACTTTGGCGAACACCGCATTCCGGAGCTCATTGAACAACGATGAACCGGCCCGAGCCATGCCATCTGTATATACAGTAGTAATCATTATAAACATCGGTTTCACATTTAAAGCCAAACAACTTGTTATTAATTTGTTGCTTACAGCTTATCAAGAGAGCGAGAGAGAGAGCTATCAAATATCGAGACCGACCTTAATATACACTAAAAGCATTGAATTGTAAGCAATTGTTGATAACATACATAAAAACAACAAAAACCTTTGGTATTATATTCAAGTAATAAAATATTCAATTGTAATAAAAAAGTTTTAGCAAATATTATAGCATTAGATATTGATTTTACTGATTATTAATTCATTGAAAACTATGGAAATAAATATTAATGAAAGCAAAAAAGTAACAATTCTTATATTGTATACATATTTCCGTCAGTAATAAGAAATTTCTAAATATATTAAATTAAACTTAACATAAACTTTTAAACAGAAAATAATAAATCCATTAAAATATATCTCAAAATTCATATTCAATTATTAAAGTTAATTAAAACCTTTATTACATTAAAAGTAACTAAATGTATCCTATAATAACTCCTTCGCCTCCTGTAATTGTTTTGCCTGTAATTCGCGATCGATTTCGTGCTGTTTTGCCCAAAGAGTGGCGTAAAGACCCTTTTTGTTGGCGACGAGACTGTAATGGTTACCGCTGTCCACGACGTGGCCGTCGGACAACACGTAGATGCTATCGGCGTTCACCACAGTTGACAATCGGTGGGCGATTCCGATTGCCGTCCGATTTTGTGTCGCTCTTTGCAATGCATTCATTATTTTCTATATTAACACAAAAAACAGTTATAAAAATTATTAAAACAATAAATTTATTTAAAAAAACTACAATAAATAGTGTCAATGAAAATGCATTAATATTTTCTTAAACTCACGTATTCGGTGATGGAGTCGAGCGAAGAGGTCGCCTCATCAAACACGAGGATTGGGCTGTCCTTAAGTACGGCCCGAGCGATGGCCACCCGTTGTTTCTCACCGCCACTCAATTTAAGGCCGCGTTCGCCGACACGCGTCTCATACTTGTCGGGCCAGCGCTGTATCGAGTCGTGAAGCTCTGCCATCTCTGACACGTGCAGAACCTGTTCCTCATTCTTAGTCAAATCGCCGTAATTTATATTGTGTTTAATGGTATTATTGAAGAGCACTGTGTCCTGCGGTACGATCGCTATCTGCTTCCGAAGGCTATCCAAACTGTAGTCGCGAATGTCTTTGCCGTTAATCAATATCCGACCGCTTTGTGGGTCAAAGAATCGGTAGAGAAGGCGAACGATTGTCGATTTGCCGGAACCACTGCTGCCGACCAGTGCTATCCATTTGCCGGCCGGCACTTCAAACGATAGGTTTTGGAGAATTGGCTGATTCTTCACGTACTCGAAGTACACGTTTTCAAACTTAACGGTCGCCTCTTTGTGAGTGAGTATGAGTGCGGGTGCGTTGGGCTTCTCCTATCCATTCAATCACCAATAATTTATATCCAATTAATTTTCGTATAATTACAGCAATTAATTGCTTCCAATCATTACCTTAACAGTTGTCTCAATGCTTAACAGATTAAACATAATCTGCATATCAAGCAACGATTGTCTAATTTCTCTATAAACAGATCCCAAGAAGTTTAATGGCAGTGATAATTGAAAGAGCAGACCATTGACCATAACTAAGTCACCGACAGTCATAGTCCCTATAAAAGTGATATATTTAGTTAAAACACACGACTGAATACATATATATAAAATGTTGGTCAATACCGGCGACAATGCCTTTGGCCGACAGCACCATAATCGCCGCCAAAGAGGCACTAAAAATGGCGTTTTGGCCAAAGTTGAGAAACGCTAAACTGGTTGTGGTCTTGAGTGAAGCGTCGGTATACTTCTTGAGCTGCGAATCGTATTTCATCGCTTCGTACGACTCGTTGTTAAAGTATTTGACGGTCTCGTAGTTAATGAGCGAATCTATGGCCAGATTTCCCGACTCGTTCTCCGCTTTATTCATGTGAACCCGGAATTTGGTCCTCCATTTAGTGATGCCGAGCGTGAATAGAGTGTAAGCGCCGATACAGCCCAGCGTTATGCCCGCGAACTGTCCGCCAAACTTATAGTACATAATACTACTGACGAGCGCCACCTCGAAGAACGTCGGCACCACATTGAACACCAATGCGCTCAACACAAAATTGATACCACTATTCGCACCAACAAATCATATATCCTTATTAATACTCAACACATCACCGCTTATATTATCAATAGAGTGGTCAAAAGCCATACCGCGTTCCCCTATCGATAGCCTTGGAGAGAGCGCCCGTCTGTCTATTCAAATGAAAGTTAAGATCCATTCGATGCAAATGCGTGAACACATTGCCGGCCACTCGCCGTATGGAGTCGTGCGCCACTTTGGCGAACACCGCATTCCGGAGCTCATTGAACAACGATGAACCGGCCCGAGCCATGCCATCTGTATATACAGTAGTAATCATTATAAACACCGGTTTCACATTTAAAGCCAAACAACTTGTTATTAATTTGTTGCTTACAGCTTATCATGAGAGCGGCGGCCACAGTGAGGACAGTGCTGGACGGGTCGGTCAACGCCAACACATTGCCGGCGTTGGCGTTCAAATGGTCGACACCGTGTTTGAATATAAAGGGCACCTCAACGTTTATGACCTGTTATACACATACAATATTATATTTAATTACCTTACTATCTTAAACATTATATTCATTACAATTAATCATTAAACCTCATTTGTTAAATATATCTGTTATTCTTAACAACTTATTAATCATATATCGGATGATGTAATAGAGGGTTAACTGTAAATATTGTTTGTAAAATAGATTTCAAGGATAATAATTAAGTGCAAAATATTTCGTATTTGGATGGTTATGAGTATTTTGCATTTATAACGTTAATGCAATTTTAGTGACATATTAATTGTTAATTTATAACAAATAATAATTTTATAAAAGTTTATAAAAATGCTATAATCATGTAATGTGTACACTATTCATGTCAATTAGCCGTATGTTTCACATAAAGCATGAGATAATTTACACTCAAGTAATTCGTGTCCTTAAATAAGTAAAAATCACTTCAATGGGAGATAAGATAGAAATACTTTCAATCATAACATTGTTCACCGATTAAACAATATTTAATACATTTTATATCAAATGTATTAAAAATTATCAAAAAAAAACTTTTTCATAAAAAATTAAATAAATAAAATATAAATTCACTGATGGCTAACCTTTGCCACGACTAACAGACCCATCGATAGTATAACCCGTTTACGCAAATCGGGCCGATCTTTAGGCCACACATAACCAAACATTTGCCGCAATATATGGACGGCACCCACTTTTGGCCGCTCGTTGTCCGGCGTGTCGTTAGATATGGTTGAATAGCGGCGATGCCATAACTGGTGACCGGCGGCCGCCGGACCTCCACTTAACTATTAACACAAATACAATACACGTAGACATTAGCCACTCATTCATATCATCGGATCCGACGGCGAAGAATGCAGACAATAAATAACTATTTATAAAATTAAATACTTGTTTACAATATAATCATTGCGTCTATGGATGAGTGTCTTGTTGTGGCAAAACTTGTTTGTCGGCCACGGATTGACTCGATATATGGATGCGCTTCTCGTCAGCAACTGATGGTTACAATAAAATTAGGTTAACTATAGTTAACGAGGTATTCATAATGAGATGATAATTACTTTAAATTGTGTCAAACAATGTGTTTTGCAAATAATTTGCCGGTAATTAACACTACAATTAGGGCTCCACTTCTCATACAATAGTAAATGTTTTGTATTTAATAATAATTTAAACATAATTTGTAATATTAACTAAAACTAAACCAAATTCACTGTAAATATGCCTTGGTGATCTCAAGTAGAGATTCGCGACATAATTGCATAAATATAAGTGTTATTAATATAACAACAGTTATATTATGACTAAATCACACACTTATGGCACACAATAACAACTTGTTATTCAAATCACTAGACATTCAATGTTTGTGTGATTTATTAATTACATCCAAAACTAACCGTAAACTAAACACGAGTTTGCAATGCATTTCACTCTTTATTGACATTCAAAACAACACAACACTTGTATTGGTTGCGAAAAATGCGCTCATTTTTTGAATTCACATTTATTTCACAAAACTTTGTAATCTTAACACTAAAACTATAAACAATTATTAATAACTAGTTATAATGAAAATGGCATTTCTGTTGTAATAATAAATTTTTATTTTCAAATATAATATATTATTAACAAAATACTGCAAATGTAAGTGTGTTTGGATTCGGGCAATGAATTGTGAACTAAATAAGTGAATATAAAATAAATGTATTTTCAATCAAATAATAGAAAGAAACAATAAATTGAATTCAATTGTCATAATAATTACTAGTTTTACAGATTGAATGACTTATACAACTAATAGTCAATAAGTTTTGGACAATAATGAGGCGAATGGACAGAACATAGTATCCATTCAACTGTCAATACGTTTGGGTTCTGGCATTTGGAAGACTTTGATGAGCTCTGGATTCGGCAGATTCTGGAGCTTTAGTGGCGACAGAAATATATACTGTTTGCCGGACTTCTGGGACGCGAACTCAATCATAGTGTCCAACGATATCTTACGGGTCATGAGATCCATAAAGACGTCCACTTCGTCGAGGATCTTGAAGGGTGACTGAGCCGACTCCCAGAGGGCCAGAATGAACGCCACCGTAGAGTACGATCGCTCGCCACCAGACAGGGATCGGGTGTCGCTATAGGAACCGGCGGCCGACATCTGAGTGCTCGATGGAAGCCCTTGACTGCCCTGACTCTCGTTGTTGGCCATAGCCTTGGGATTCACTTTGATCTCGAGGGTCTTACCCTTCTTCAACTCGCCGTTCACCTCCTTCTGCGAGTGGTATATCTCGAGGGAACCGCTGAACCCCTTATGTCTCAACACATCCATAAAGAAGAATTTGGTCATAAGTGAGTAGAAGTTGCGGAGCTCTACGTAACCGCGGCGTCTCAGGTCGAGCGAGTCCTTCATGCGCTTGAGATGGCGCTCGAGGGCCGACACCTCGCCTTTGACGCGCTTGAAATGGGCCATCAGTTCGGTGTACTTCTTGAATATGTTGTCCTTATCTCCGATACTGTTTTCCTGTTCGTTCAAAAACTTCTCCATTTGTTTGATTTCGTTGATCACCGCTCGCGACGAGCGCCGCGTCTCCAGCACTTCGAGTCCCGTCTCGGCCTTCGCCCGATCCAAATCGGTCTGGTATTCCGTCTCAAAGGCGGCCGCTTTGTTGCCCTCTTCGGCTTTGAGCGCTTCCGTCTCTTTCATCTTCTTCTGGCAATCGGCGGACACTAATCCGTGATTCGATAAATCGGTTTTGATTTGCTCTAAACTCGCTTTCCAGGGCTGCCTGGAGTCCAACAGCTTATCGTATTCGGTCTTTCGTGCGGTCAGCTGTGCGTCCGCTTCCATGTATTCATCGTTCATCGCTTGCTTCTCATCGGCAATCACTTTGAGCTGTTCGTGAAGTTCAGTCATTCGCGAGCCGTACGTCTGGTGCTCTTCCTCCAGAGTGGATATCTCGACGGGCGGCGAGTCTCCAATCGATTCCAGTTCTTTCAGTTTAGTATCCTTGCGAATGGTGTCAGTGCGGCACTGCTTCTTACGCGAGTCCAACGCCTGTATCTCTTTTCGTTTGCCGTCCAACTCTTGGCGATGACTTTGATATGTCTGTTCGGAGACTCGGTATTGTTCGTTAAGTGTCACCACTTCTTGGTTCAACAGATCCACCATTTGGTCCACACTTTGCATCAAAATACTAGCGCTCCTTCTCTTGTGATTGGCGTACGATTTGTAGTCCGAATTTTGCGTTTGCGGATGCATTACACAACCCTCTTGTGTGAACGCTTGATGACAGTTGGGCACCGAATTGGTGACCATTAGTAGCTCTTCGGCCTTCTTATAATCGGGAATGAATAGTATTTGTTCGATACGGCACTGGTCTATGAGACAGTTAGTAATGGCCGACTCTTTGATGTCCATTAAGTCCAACAAACTCTTGTATTCGTCGCATCGGACCCGACCTCTGCTCACGTCGTGGAGAGCAGTGAAGGGACGGGTAATGATGGATGGCGTGCGTTGACCGCCACTACCAAACACCTGTTGAATTATTTTATCCAATTCTCTCTTGTCCTGCATATTATCGCAACAGAAGGCGTATATCACGTTTTTGATGGCCAGTTCGACGGCCAGAGCGCACGAGTAGTCCTTCAGTTTAATGTGATTCCCAATGGGTCCCAACGGCTTCTTCTTAAACACCTTCTTCCGGAACGCCTCGTCTATACGTTTGACTAATTCCGGATATTTGGGTCCAAACTTCTTCAGCTGATCCACACGACTCTGATTGAGTCGTTGAATGTCATACTGTTTGCCATCAATTGTACTTTTCAATTGATTCCGTTCTTGATATATTCGGACACCGCTTTCGCCCAATTCTCGCACCGATTGATCCAATTGTTCGTACCGTTCGAGTAGTGACTGCTCTTCTGCTCTTAGTTTTTCAATTTCTGTCCTTAATTGGAAAATCTCTTCCTTTCGTCGGTTATGACTCTCATTACTGGTCATCAAAAAAACACAATTACTGGTCAATTGGTTTCAATTACAACAAAAAACAATCAATCAATACCTAAATTGTTGTTCCAGTCCTTTGATTCGTTGCTCAATAGCCTTCATATCGTTCTTCGTGGCCATTATCTCCGTACGAACTCCTCTGTCGTCACGCTCTTTATTGCGCATCTTATCCTTGATTTCATCCCTTTTAGCCCTGTATTCCTCGACGGTGTCCTTCGCGCGATTCACGTCATCGATCAACTGATTCAGTCGACCCATTGTCTCCGTTTTCTTCGCCTCCAACACAGCGATTGTCTCCTTTTCGGCCTCACATTTGGCCGACTCTGTGGCCAATCGTTTCTCAAATTTGGCGATCTGTGCCCTCACGGCCTCCAACTTATTCTTCTGCTCGTAGACCAGCGCCCAAAGCGCCTCATTATTCAAATGCGTGAACTTCTCCTTATGGTTCTCCAACTCATTAAACATACGGACCTTTCGCTCCAACTCTTTCAGATCGCGCGTAGTGTCCGGCAATACCTTCCCCTTCTGGTCCAATATCTTAGTCGATATACTCCTATCGGTTTCACTCGACGCGTAATCATTCTTCATGTCCTCCAGAAGCGTGGCTTTCATGAAGAACTGGTACTTATCTCTCGCGTTCTTCGTGTTGAGGAAATTGCGCGACACCTCCTGATTGAGGACACAGATCGGGTTATCCACCTGTATGTTGAAGTGGCGTATAATGTCGTCCAACGCGTCCCTCCGGTCGGCCACTGTTTTCCCGTCGGAAGTCTTGATCTTATAAGTGGAAGATCCGGAAGCGTTGATTGTGCGCTCGATTAGTATAGACTTGCCGTACGTTTTCACATCGAAACCCTGTTTGCCGGTCGACCACTCATTCCAGTTGCAGATCTTAAGTATGATCTTTGCCTGCGTTTGGCCCGACTTTATGAAAGAGGCCACACCTTTGCCGCGGGATGTGGTCGACGCCCGACCGCCCAGACCTAACACAATGCCCGTCAATATAGCACTTTTGCCGCTACCATTGCGACCGACAATGAAGTTAATACGCGGACCTAATGAGTGATATACAAGAAGAC